TCAATCATCCTAAAATAGCACAAGTGCCACTAGATACAGACCTGGGCACTGAATGACGGCCCTGTTCCCTGTGTGCAGTTCACCTCCGGCTCCCCACCTGACCCTGGAAGTGCTGCTGACTGAAGACCTTGCTCTGAGTGGCTCTGATCCCTGGTCTCCTGTCTGGCAGCAGCGCCCCCATCCCTCCATGTGTCCAACTCATTTGCCTCAGGCAGGATTGCCCTTAGGAATCCCCTTTCCACCTGGCCTGGGGTGGCCAGGACCCCAGCTCGCTGTCTGGGATCACCCTGCAGGACCTGTCCAAGGGGCAGTTCCAGCTGGAGCTGCATGTGGCATGAGGTGAGGCTCCAAGGACAGGAGCAGAGCAAAGCCATGACTTCCGCAATGGACACCATGCAGCCCTGGAAGGACAGCAAGGGAGCTTTCTATGAGGCGCGATGCAAAAGTCTCCAAGATACATTCTCTTAACTTTTCCATTAGGGAAAATTTCAAATACATACAAACCCAGACTCCCAGGAGGAAGGCGGGTGCTCACTGTCAACCCCTCCGTGCAACAGCAGAAGCACAGTGAGCCATGCTCGTCACTGAGGGAATGACGGGAGCCTTCCTGGGTCCAAGTTCCAGATGCCAGCCCAGAGCCCACTGTTTAAGGAGACATCCCAAGGACAGCCCCAGGCCTGCCCCATAGACCCTTTCCTTTGCAGATGAATACACTGTGACTGGTTGAAATCTCCTCCACCTCTTTTAGTCTTTAGAATTTCTCCTCATCTCTCATCCCTCCGTTATCATTTAAGTTATTTACATTGGAATTCTGCTTGTGCATCCGCACAGAGTCATTTGAAATATTCCTCTGTTCCCTGTCCTTCCCAGGAGCTGGCAGTTATACCTACAACGCAATCCAGTGGGGACTATCCTTCTCCCAGTCATCCTTTCTCCATCTCCTCCTTCTTCTTGGTACCAAGATGACTCATTAATAGCATCTGCACTAATTTGAGAGTTTTATTTTTTCAGGCTCCCTCTCTACTGTGGTGGCCCTGTTTCAATTCCAAGTTCTTCATCCACTGATTCCTGAGAGGTTCAGAATGGCAACATTGTATCTACCATCCCCCTTAGCTACAGTATTTCCAGAAACAGAAACTTTCTTTATGATACTGTGTTACTCAGTAGAAATGCTTGATTCACTTGCTTTTTTTTCTTCCAATTTTAAAGCCAATGAAATTAAATTATAACAGACCAATTAAAAAACAGAAAAATAAAACTAGTGAAATCTTTAGACTCCTCAAAGGTGACATTTTGGGGATATAATTGCAAAATTATGGATTTAAACATCTACGACTTCCTCGGTCTCTCTGTGTCACATGGCCCCACTATTGCCCAGGGTGAGCCCTAGTCCTTTAACATGATTCCACTGGTCTTTGCCAGTTTTCTTTCTTTTCCTTAAGACAAGTTATTCTGGGATCATCTTGTATATTTCCTATTCAAATCTAGAATTAATAATTTCTTTAAAAGATTACTTTAAATGAAAGTTGGCATTTAGTATTTTCAAAGTGGGTTCTAGGATGCCTAAATATTCTTAATTTTTTAAAAAAGTACAGAATAGAATATAAGGTTAACATTATGCAAAAAAAAAAAAAAAGTGGGAAAAGTAACATGTGTTTGCATTAGCTGAATTTGCATAAAGAAGCCCTGGAAGAATTTACAAGAAATTAACAAACCTTCTTGAGAGTAAGAGGAAGGAGTGATGGTCAGTAAAAATCACCTCTGAATCCCTAAATGCCACAGAGAACAGCACAGAGGCCCAATGTGCTCCCAACAGTTGATCTGTTTGGGCAGGGGAATATCAGTGAAGGTGCAGGCAAAGTGTGGGGACATTTTGAGCGACAAATATGTATCTTTGAGCATTTAGAATCACACTGGGCACAGTACGAAGTCCCCCTCGGAGCAGTGACTAGCAACCAAGTCCACTGCTGATCTGCTCAGCCTAGCTGAAGAGCGGCCCAGGGGGGCTTCCAGCCGCCCAGGCCCGGCCAGGCCTCTGCAGGATTCTTCACCCAGACTCCGGGGGGTGGGGGCCAGGTTTCTGCATTGTTACCACCATCCCCCGCCCCAACCCCAAGCTGAGCAAGACGGAAAAGAGATCTTCTCGTCCTTCCTCAAGCTCATGGGGAGGCTGGGTAGGATCCTGGGAGACTTACCTGCACTTTGGTTAAAACAGAACCCTGTTATTTCCATGTGGTTTCTCTAAATGTCCTTCCTCTGCCCCTCCCAGATTTGCTTCTTTCCTCCCCTCCTTTCTTCCCAGTGTCTCTAGCTGCGGGCGTGCTGTGTGATGCTCTGTCCCCCAGTCTGTCTGTCTTCCAGAGCAGAGACCCATGCTTGCCGATGCTTGCCCCTCGCGGGTTTTGGTTTGGTCCCAGTCCTAATCTCCCACCCAACCCTCTTTACCTCTCTGCAGACGCACAGCAGTCCTGGAACGCATGCGCAGTCAAGTCCAGCATGGAGCCTGCTCAGGGTTAGGGAGGCCTGGGAGGCCTGATGTTGGTTGCGGGGAAGAAGCCTTCTCCGGGTTCTCTGAAGACCGGTGTTGAGGGGTCACCTGTTGACCGAGTTGGATGTTAAGGCAGCAAGCTTAGGGGAGATGGAAAGACCAGGACTCCCGCTGCACCCTTGGCCGCTGGAGACCCTAGGGACCCACTGTGAAAAGCACTTGCCACGAGCACATGACAGCCCAGGAGGAGGCACGTCGTGAGGCAGGTGAATGACACACTCTGCTAGAGGGGAGCACGGCTTTGTGCAGATGGAGAGGAGAGCAGAGCTGCGGTGGGAGGCTGGCAGGACAGGAAGGCTTCCTGGAGGAGGCATCGCTGGGCTGTGCTTTGTCTTTAACTTAGATACACAGGCCAGATAAACTGTCAATAGGTTCATCGCCAAACACTGGAGTGAGTGAGGAAGAGACACCGGACACAAACCGGATGCCTATAAAAATGTCCTCACACATGCCAGGCGCGGAATTGAGAGACCAAAGTGCAACTGTCCCTCTATGCGATCCTACCCTGGAAAGCCATGCTCGGTGACAAGCGCCTGAAAGAACTCACAGAGCACTAGGTTGAAATCCAGGCCCTGTGAAGAGCTTGGGCAGGCAAGTGGGGACCCCTGGACCTCAGGCCCCGGGGCACCCCTCTACCCCTGACTGCCCACCCCTGCAGGCCTGGAGGGACCTCTGTTTGGGGTGTGCCGAGGCATATTTTATTTTCAGCAAACTTCCTCATAAGCACCAAGTGGGGTCCCCATGACTACAGGGACGCAGAGTGGGACAGAAACACAAGAGGCCCTCCTCCAAGGAGCCACCGAGTTGGCAGGAAGAGGAACATAGGGTGTCCTGGGGGGAGACCCAGGCTGGACCCAGTTCCTAGCAGGCCAGCCTCAGAGTGGCATTTAACCCATCAGTGGAAGTGAAGCGATGGGATCAACAGAAAACTGTGGGGTTCCCAGGACTGCCCACCCACGACAGGCCAAGGGCAGGGGAAAACAGACTGTTGGTCTTGTTCACTTATCTATTTAAATGGCAGCAGTTGATGGGGATCTTGGTTATTAAATCAAAGGAGATGCATGCTTAAAAATCTCCCTCCTGGTGAAGAGGAGAGGGAAAGGGGAAATTGCCAAATTATATTGTTACATCATTTGCATGTACAAATGTAACCACAAATTCCATCTTTACGTACAACTGCAAAACACCAGTAAAAATATGGAAAAAATCTCTGTCCTGACTGCACAATTTGTCAACATATTAAAAACTATTGAACTCTACACCTTACATAGGAGAATCATATGATATGTGAATTATATCCTAATAAACCTGCTAAGGAAGAAAAATGCCTCCCTTCTGCCCTCCACAACCTGTCCCTTAGCAACCCTTTTTTTTTTCTCAAAGGTAACTCTTATCTTTCTTCTGGAGATTTAGATGAATGAATGAATAGATAAGGTAGATAGACAGGTAGGTAGGGTAGATAAGATGAAGAATTAAGGAGGATGCATGAATAGGTGGAGCACAGATGATTTTTAGGACAATGAAATTATTCTGTGATGATACCATGTGGAGACATGGCATTACACATTTGTCCAAACCCACCAGAAGGTACACCACCAGCAGGGACACTATTGTGAACTGCAGACTGTGTGATAATCATGTGTCAGTTTGGGTTCGTTGTACCATAGTGGGGAATTTTTGTATTGGAAGCATAAGTTTGCTGTAAGCTTAAACTTGCTCTAAAAATAGAGCAATTAGCATATGTGAATCCCTGAGTACTGGGGGGAGGCAGGAAAAAGGAAAAAGAAAAATATCTATTGAAATATAGTTATTATCTGGGCACAGCAGCACATACCTATAATTCCAGTGATTCGGGAGGCTGAGGCAGGAGGATCACAAGTTCAAGACCAACCTCAGCAACTTAGTGAGGCCCCAAGCAACTTAGCAAGACCCTGTCTCAAGATAAAAAAAATAAAAACTAAAAAGAGCTTGGGATATAGCTTAGTGGTTAAGCACACTGGATTTAATCCTGCTGCCAAAAAGTAAAAATAAAAAAGTTTCTCCATTACAGCAGCTCTCCTTTCATGGTGGTTTGCAGGACCATTCTTTGGCAACAGGTCTTCCCTTGAAGGTTTGTCTTTGATCTTCTACTCAGCCTGATAAACTGGCTCTTGAGAGAGGCTCTGATCCTGTGCATGTTTCATGGAATCAAGGATATTTCGTGGTTTGAATCTACAGTTCCGTCTTCCTTGTCTACTTGTTCCGCCTGTTCTTTGTTTCTCTCCTTTCTTGCTGACTTTGGATAAATCCTAGTGTAGTGTGGACGAAGTTTTGTTATTCAATATCCTCCATCAGCTTGATAGCTGTACATACGACGTCTATTATTCCCCCAGATCTCAACCTAGGATCACAGCATGTATCCTTGACCCAGTGCAGTATGACAAAAATCACGCCTTTATTTTTCCAAACAATATAAAGATTTTTGACCACTTTATTTGCATCTGGCTATTCCCACCTGTGTGGTCTCATGTATGTTAATATTACATGCCTTCAACAGTACATATATTCAGAACCCCAGAGACATCAGTGTTGGTCTAGACAACAATACATTCTCATTGATATTCATCCTCAAATTTACTTTTTCCCAATAATTATCTTCAGTTCTCCTGCCCTTCATTCTTTTTTTATGTGTGTGGTGGGCTGGCCTTTTGCGTTTGTTGACTGCCGTGAGAACTCGCTCTAGTCATGGTCTTCATTCCATGGTCACCCAGGTGTGACGGCATAGTAAACCCTCCCTTTTCAGGTGTATACTTCTGAGTTTTTACACACTTATATATCTGCACACACACACCACCACAACCAAGATTGGGACTATTTCAGCCACCCTAAAGAGGTCTTATGTCCCTCTGTGACCTTTCATTTGGTCACCCCAGTTTTTGCCTTTTCCAGGATGTAGGAGGCCTCTGACAGTTCAGCCTTGGGATCTGCCTTCTCTCTCCTGGCACAGGGCTTTGAATGCACCTAGGTTATAGGGGATCAACACGGTCCCTCCTCATTGCTGGGGAGCACACCATCGTGTGGATGTAACACAATATGTTTATTGTGGCTCTTAATTTTAGTCATCTGGTGTGTAGGCAATGGCCCCCCACGTGGTTTGGGCTTGCAGTTCTCTGAGGAACACTGGTTCTGAGTATCCTTTAATACACTTATTTGGCAGGTATCTCTCCTCTGCTGACACATTATTCGAAGTATTCATAAGGGGAAGAATTTTTATTGGTAGGCCTCCAGCAGAATTTACCACACTAATCTGCTGTACTGTATTAGTTATCTATTGGCAAAATTCAGTGACTTAAAACAACAAAAATTTATAGTCGCACATTCTTCACCCAGAGCTTACTGATCTAGCCAGAGCAAAGTTTTCTTATGGAAATGGCAGAAACATCGGAAGCCAGACAAAGTCTATACTATATGATTGCATTAAAGATTACAGAAAAGGTAGACTAATTTATTGTGACAGAAAACAGATCAGTGATTATCTGGGGCCAAGATGGGAGAAGGGATTGACTGCTTAAAAAGGGCCCAAGGACAGAAATGGGGACGTTCTGTATCTCGACTGCCGTGTATGCATTTATTGAAACTCGTCCACAGGTATCCTCCCAGAAGGTGCAGCATGGGGGACATGGGTCAGACTTCAGTAAGGCTAGTTACAAGTACACCTTCCTCCCGCATTGGCACTAGCTTCCCTTGTACTTGGGTGGCTGTTTGAAACAGGCTGATCTGTGAGACACAAACAGAAGCTTGGAAAGCCCTTTGATAGGACAGATCCAGTGTTACACGCTCTTGTGCTTCCCTTTCTCTTCCTGTAGAAAGTGATGCTGGAGTTGAGATGACCACCAGGAGGAACGAGGGACATACCTGAAGTATAGAAGAATAGAGCATAAGTCTAAATCACTGTGGGGCTGCTGGAGAAAAATAAACCCTGCATGCATCTCAGCCACTGGTGAACGTTTCTGATATTTACAACCAAACCCATCCTCAACTGTTAATGGATTGCACTTTTAATTCCTAAATCTCAGCCCTGTTTTGCTGACCTCCTGGTCCAAGCTCACTGTTCTGGCAGCCTTGGTTCAGGGTGGCTAAGTGCCAGCTTCTCCTGGTTCAGATACATTGACCACCTGTCACTCTGGGCCCCACTTCTTACTGTTCCCTAAGGCTCAGCTCCCAGAGCTCCCGCCTAGTCACCAGGACTCCATCCCACCTAAACCTGGCAGGAGATTTTCAAGAGAGACCCTCCTTCAAGTTATTGTCCCAGTCAACTGACCTAGACTAAGGACTTTAAATTTTTTTTTTTTTTCAAAATGGAAACATTTGCTTGTTTCTTCCTGAGAGAAAGGCTCCTTATGGCCCTTCCATTACCATGGCTTTCTGCCTGCACCTTGTCCATCTCAGCATGTATCTCTGTTTTTGTATCTCTGGTTGTTGAAGTGATGTCTGCCTCCTGAACAGCTGGGTGTCAAGGACCAGAGGGGCAGGGCCAAGGCTGTTTTGGGCACATTTTTATTTCCATTACTTGCAGGTGGCCATGTGGCATTCCCTGAATGTCTGATGAATAAATGAAAAACTTTCCCAGTGTAAACAGGTGGCAGCACACTCCTAACTCATTAGCTCGGATTAATAGCCTTGCTCATGCCATGTTTATTTTTTGGAAAAAAAAAAATTACAAAACCATGAAGACCAGGTCCTCCAAAACACATGCACAGGCCATTATAGGCCATTAGCAATAATTTTTATCCTGTGTTAATTGTCTAACATTTTCTTTATGTCATCTATTATAATCCCTTGCTTAGGAGATCTTCCTGTTTTGATGTGTAGGTAATAGTCTGCGGTCTCTTATCTATTTTCTCTTCATGTTAAAATCAAGTATTCTCTAGGGGAACCTCCTAGTCTCACTTTCAACACGAGGGCTGCTGCTGTCCTGTTTCCTCAATGTACTCTGGGATATTGCTTGCCTATCATCCTCTGCCTGTAGCAACTACCACACTCCCTTCCACCTGTCCTTTCCCCCATCTCCAGGCATTTATGCATCCATTCAACAAACATCTACTCAAGCTTATTGCCACCTTGCCCTGTGTGAGGGCTCTTGGAGTGCATCAATGAGCAAATCATCACAGAACATCAGTGTGTGGAGGGAGACAGACAGTAAACAAAACAAATATGGCAATTAGTTTTTAAGGAGAGAAATAAAGCAGGGAAGGCATGCAGGAAGCAAAGGGGTGCAGTTCAGTTTTAAACAAGGTGTGCAGGAGGTGCTTTGATGGTAATAAAACCTCGACTAAGGGAACACACCTTGTGGCTATCTGGGTGTTATGGAGTTGTGTTCTATCCTCCCTAAATCTGTATTTCATATTGTTGAAATCCCAACTCCCACCCTCAGAATTAACTGTAATTGGAAATAAGATCTTTAAGGCCATGACTAAGTTAAAATGAGGCCAATATGACTGACATGCCCTTATAAGAAGAGAGAGCCAGCAAGGGTGCCTGACCAAGTAAAGAGGCAAGAGGGTGGCCACCTACAGCCCAAGGAGGGCTCAGAAGAACCCTATCCTGTGGCACCTTGATCTTGGACTCCAGCTTCTAGAGCTGTGAAAAATTAAACTCCCATTGTTTAACCCTCTCAGTCTGTGGTGTTGGACATGGCAACCTCCATACACTAATACACAGGGAAGTGTACTAGGCAGGCAAAGCCCACAGGAAGACCCCTAGGTGGGACCTGGCTTTATCACAGCAAGGTGGCCACAGGGTCAGGACAGAGTGTGCAGAACACATAGTAGGAAATAAGAGGCATGGGACTCAGATCCTGGAGCACCCTGTGGTCTACGTGAGGCCTGGCTCTCGTTCTGAGTGACTTGGGCACTGTCCCAGGGTGTGACTGCCATATGGGGAAGCAGGAAAACCAGTGGGAAAGTATTTCACATGGCAAGGACTGAGTCGCTGAGTCAAATGTGGCCCAGAAGAGCGGCCCTTTGCTAGCAACTGCCAGAACGATTCTGGTGAAGTTGAGGATGGAAGTCCTGACTGAAGTGAGCCCGAGCATGGGAGAAAGAAAATGAAGACAGGAGCCTAGAGTTTTGCTGTGCAGGAGGGCAAAGCAACGTGGTAAGAACCGGAGGGGGAGATCAGGTTTTGCTTTGTTTTGGACGGGAGTAAACAGAGCATGCTTATACGTGCATGGGGAATCACGTAAGTATATATACAAATTGCCAGCCTCCTAAGATCTCTTCTTGGGGTTTCCAAGAGGTGTCATCTTAACTGCTGCAGAAGTTCGCAAGCCTTGGTTGGCCATTCGCATCTCCACTTCGGGCTCAGCGTCTCATCTTGATGGTTACCTCCTGGCGGGAGGTACAAAGCCTGCCACACCAGAGTCAGAGAACTCTGAAGTCCAATTCTGTAACTTGCTCTGTGACCTTGGACAATGACGTGAGTGCACCGGCCGGGCCCTAGCAGTCGGTAAGGAGCGGACGGGGTTATGTTCAGGTCCCTGAATCCCTAACTAGCGTCCAGGCCACAGGGCTGTCCCCTGCACCGCCCCATCCCCTGCAGGCACCTCCAAATCATACCGCTCTGCAGTCGCTTTATTTATTTTTTTTCTTCTGACTCGCTTTTGCCTTTCCAAACAGACACGCAGCCAAAACCTCTTTACTCTCAGAGCCTCCCGGCCACCAGGGACTTAGCCCCGACTCCTCCTTTCCCGGGGGTCCGTCCCCTTCACAGTCAGAATCCGCCACGTAGTAAGTGCAGCTTCCAACCAATCAAGAAGCGGTTAGCTCAGCCCTTTGAAGGGCATCCACTTCCACCATCGACAGTCACGTCCTCAGCAGCCCTCCCCCTGGGAGGCGAGGCCAGACACCAGGATGGCCAATCTGCTTCAGAAAAGGTGTTCCGGGAACTGCCGAGTTCGCCAATCAGAGAGGAGCACTCGGGGCTGGTCATTTCTCATTGGTAACGCCGTCCGGAAAAGAGCCAGGCTTCGAGGAATGGAAACACGATTTGATTGGTAGGTGTGATGTGGCCTATCAAGAATAGCCCGCCCTTCGCAGAGTGGCAAGGCCTGCAGCCAATCAGAGAGCACACAGCCGACGTCGCTCCTGGGCGCTGCCAGCGGGCGGCT